CCTTCCTTCCTTCCTTCCTTCCTTCCTTCCTTCCTTCCTTCCTTCCTTCCTCTCACTCTCTGTGTATCTTAATACAAGAAATCAAAATGTTTTTCATTGATCATTCTAACCCAGTCTTTCCCAACCTGGCCATTGTGACAGCATGGAGGGTACCATATTGGGGAAGATCAATGCATCAGTTAAAATTTGACTGGGGATGGAAGGGAGCAACCTTTTGGAAGTAAGGCATACCCTTCAATGCTCAGCAACAGCCTCCACCCTCCTGAGAAAGCTCTTTCAGAAGAAGAGGCATCTCCAGGACAACTGATGGCCTTCCCTTCTTCTCAGGTTTCAGGCTGCCTCTTGGCCACTCATGTTAGCAGAGCAGTATGGAAGGAAAAGATGGGGTGACTTACAGAGCTGTAAGTGGTTAGGACAGAGAACACTGATCTGGTTCATGGATGTGCATCTAAGTTTGAACTTGGTCTATCTGAGTCGAAATTCCCAGGCCAAATCCAGAGCTCCTCAAGAAAATGTTGACGGCCCCCAAAACATCCATGAGAGTATGATGGCAAATGGGGTTGAGCCATTAGTATTGGGAAAGGCCATGATACATCGTAGCTAGGAGAAATAAAGGGACCTGCATCTTCAAGGGATGTTTCTAAGGCTGGACTGGACCAATTGGGACTCCAAGGATGGGGTTCTAGGATCCTTCCTTCCTTCCTTCCTTCCTTCCTTCCTTCCTTCCTTCCTTCCTTCCTTCCTTCTTTCTCTCCTTCTTTCTCTCCTTCCTCCCTCCCTCCCTCCCTCCCTGGTATCTAGTACCCCATCCCTACCCTGTTTTCCTGATGATCTGAACTAATAGAGTTTGGAGAACCCAAAGCGCTGATCACATGGCTTGATTCTAGGATACTCACCTCCCCATTACAAAAGCAGTAGATGATAGCGACGAAAAATCCCTAGGAAGAAAAAGAAAGAATAAAATTGGACTCTTGGATTGACTTCAAGAATTGCCTATGGCCACAGGGTTGAGGACTCCACCGGATGACACCCAACATTAAACTAGTCCGTAAGGGGGTGGGTAGCTTGAAGCGAACATGTGCTACCATCTTAATATTTATTTCTTTATGAATCTTGTTAAGAAGTATATTCCATCTCTTTGGGTTCCATGGGGGTCTCCCTTTATAGCCATACAATAATGACCTGGGGAAGCTGGGCTGAGAGAGAGAAATCTAGTGACCTTCTGTGGTTGAGCAAGGATTAGGTCAGTGTTTCTCAACCTTGGCAACTTTATGATGTGTGGACTTCAACTCCCAGAATTCCCCAG